TATATGACGGAATATTATGCAGTCATAAAGAAGGACAAAATTATGTACTTCACAGCAACTTGGATGGATTCAGAGTCCATCATACTCAATGACCTATCACAGAAACAAAGAACTGAACACCACATGTTCTCACTCACAAGTGAGTCCTGAACACTCATCACAATTCTACAAGTTAGGGATTGGCAGTAGCAAGACACTGTCAGGGGAGCAGGGGGACATGTAACATCACTAAAGGTATCTGACCCTAAACCAAGTGAAGTGAGGACCAATTAGAGGCCCAAACTTCACCTGCACATAGACTACTAATATACCTAACCCTGACTTGTACCTCATATCTTTATAATAAAATAAAGAAAAAAAATTGTTTAAAAATACACATAAGTAAAATCTTTTTTTAAAAAAGGACAAATGATATTTGCATTGGCAAGTATTGGCAAGGACGTGGAGAAAAGAGAACCCTTATACATCAATGGTGGGAATGTAAATTAATACAGCCATTATGGTAAAAAGTATAGTGGTTCCTTAAAAAAATAAAAATAGAGCTACCATATGATCCAGCAATCCCACAACTAGATTTAATAAGCTTTTAATGAGTGAATATAAAAGTTTATAACTTTGAGTGAGTCACATAATAACATAAAAGAGACCCAACAAACAAAAGAATAATACAATATGATAGTGCTTGAAAAATATGTTTTCTTAATATCCTATCCAAAATTCCCATGGAGGAAAAGATTCCCATCAGGGAAAATATGGTACCAAGTTGTACATTTCTCTAAATCACATGCATTAATCCAACAAGCAAATCTTTTTCAAGTATCACATTTAAAAAAAGAAAAATGGTAATTTTTTGATGACACATTAGAATATTCAAACCACAAAACAGAAATGTTGTACAAAGTTTGAAAATGTACACAAATTTAAAAATAAAAAACTAACGGGAATCATTATTGCTTAGTGCTACAATCAGATAAAAGGCATGTGTGCAACTGAAGCAGAGTAAGTAAGGAGAGAACAGTGGAGGAAGATATCAAAGTTGCAAGATGGGGGGATCAAATCATACAGGGCCTTATAGGATATTGTAAGCATATTGACTTTTTTACACTGAGAGTGACATGGGAGCCATGACAGAGATATGATGAGCCAAGTGATACACCCAGGTTTTAAATGGATAATTTTTCTGTCTAGAAAATATACTGTAAAGGGTCATGGGTGGAAGCAGGGAGATCAATTAGAAGTTGCAGTAATCCTAATAGTCCTACTATTATTATAGTAATCTATGTGAGACTTTAATCAGTAGAGTACCAGTGGAGGTGATAAGAAACAGTAAGCTCTTGCAAGTACCTTACTTTGAAGGGAAAGCTAAGAGGATTTCCTCATAGACTGAATATGAAATGTGAGAGAGTAGTGAAGGACAAATCCACAGTTTTTGGACTAAATGGATAGGTTGGGATACTGTCAACTGAGAAGAGGAAGACTTTTGGAGGAGTAGGTTTAGAGAGGAGTTCAGTTTGGGATAATATTTTGAGAGGTCTATTGAATATCCAAGAAGAGATGTTGATTAGGAAGTTTAACATATGAGTCCGGAGTTCAGATGTGAGGATTAAGCCGGAGATGGATTTAAGACCTGTGAGCATACAAATGGAATCTAAAGCCATAGGGCTGGTTGCAATCACCAAAGAAGACAGTGTACATAAAAGTGAAAAGATGTCCAAGAACTGATCTCTGGGTCTCTCCAACATTTGGAGGTTGAGGACATAAGGAAGAATCAGCAAAGAAGACTGAAAGGTAGGTAGAAAACTAGATAAATGCTGCAGAGAAAAAAGGATCTCAAATCAAAGAAAATGATCAACTGCATCAAATGCTGCTGGTAGGTCAATTATGAGAACTTAGAAATGACGGTGGGATTTGGCAACATAAAAATCTTTGGTGACACTGAAAAGACCAGTTTCTATGGAATGGTGGGATAGAAGCCAGGTTGGAGTGAATTTAGGAGAGAAAGAGAGAAGAGAAAAACTGAAAGCAGTGCATATAAAAAAAATTACTGTGAAGTAGAGAGTAAATAAATGGAGTGGTAGCTGGCAATAAAGATAGGGTTCAGAGAAGATTTTTGTAAGATGGTATAGCATGTTTGTATGCTGCTGGGAATGACAGAAGAGAGAGGAGAAAATTATTGAAGCAATGTCCGTGAGTAGGTGAAAAGGAAGGAAGGACAGGGATGTGAAAGGCTCATCTATAGTGACAGGTAGCAAGACAAACTACATGAGTATGGACACTGAAAGTTAGGTAGATGTAGTGGTGGGAGCTTGTGAAAGTTCTCTTCTGATTGCTTCAATTTATTCAGTAAATTAAGCAACAAGATCATCAACAGAGAACAAAGATGGAGAAGAGTTCGGAGGTTTTAGCAGCAAAGTAAAGGTGTGAAATAGTCATCTATGAGCATAGTTGAGGGAATGGAGTAGGGATAGATAAAATGATTGTCTGAAACCATAGGCGCTCACTTGGAGCTTCAGAAAAGGAAACTGTCAGAATCATTAGATGGCAATTCTGGATTAGAATAGGCAAAACCTGGAGGATGGGAGGAAGGCTATTTTAAAAGGCTATTTTAATAGCCACAAGAAACAACTGGAGAAAGATATCATGTAAACTAGGGCAAGAGCAGCTGGAAGACAACTAAGGACACAATTGTAACAGATATTAGAAAAGCAGAACCAATGGGATTTGGCAAGCAATTAGAAGTGACTGGGAAAATGAAGGAAGCAGAAGATGGCTCTGTAGTGTTGAGCTTAAGAGAACTGGATATGGCAATGCCACTGATGAATTACTGCAAAAAGTAATAGCCAAATTGGTCAGCAGCTTAAAGCTGTAAGTATAATTTTTGAGTAAAGAGAAGAAACAAGATTTCAAAAGATTTATATGGTAGTCTCAAGGAATGTTTATGTTTTTGTCGTTGTCATCGTTTTACAGTGATTACGTTAAACAGGTCACTAGGGTGATAAACTGAGAGGCATCGAGGTGATCAGGAAATATTGGCAATTAAAAGAACAGGGCTTACTTGATAAAGGAAGGGAATAGTAAAAACATTTATAAAATTGTTTATCTAGAAACCTTATATGCCAGGTACTAGTCTAGCAATACCACCTCTTTTAATCCTAAAAATAAGGCCAGGCATAGTAGTTCACACCTGCAATCCCAGAATTTTGGGAGGCAGAGGCGAGAGGATTGCCTGAGCTTAAGGGTTCGAGACCAGCCTAGACAACTTGGCAAGACCTTGTCTCTACACTAAATCAAAAAATTAGCCAGGTGTGGTGACATGAACCTGTAGTTCCAGCTACTTGATCCTTCTAAGGCAGAAGGATCGCCTGAGCCCAGCAGGTTGAGGCTGTAGCTATGAGTGTGCCACTGCACTGCAGCCTGGGTGACAGAGTGAGACTTTGAATAAAAAAAAATCCAAAAAATAATATTAGGTAGATACTCTTATACCTTTGTTAAAAAAAAAAAAAATTAGAGAGCATATATGACCTTTACTAGGTGATATAATCAATGGCAGAGCCAAAAGTCAAACTCAAAACTGAATGACCTGAAAGTCCAAGTTCTTAACCACTACACAATTCGTGCTCTGTAAAAGTAAGGGCCTTGGAAAGGTAGTATAAGTTGTTTAGCTTCCAAGGAAAATTTCAGAGATAAAGATCTCAGAGGCAGAATTATTCCAGAGAATGACACAGTCCAAGGTGTAGTCATACCTATAATTAGCTAAATTTATAAATGCAAATGTCAGAGTTTGGGAAATCAAGGAACTAAGAGCAAAAAATGTATTGAAGGGGTTAGCAACATAATAACTCAAAGTACCAAAATGAGTAGCAAGGGAAAAGGACAAAAGGATAGCAAGGGGCTAACGTGGAAGGTCAGATAACAGACTTCACAAGAGAAAAGGCTACTGATGATGTGGAAGGAACTGCAGGAAAAAAAGCATACCACAAGACTAAGAAGAAGAGTTAAAGAGGGTTAAAATGTCAGGATTTGTTTCAGGAGAAATGTCAGTTGCAACTACATAGAAGGAATAGTCAAGGAAAGTTTAAAGATAAAGGAAATTTGTGTTTGTATTCATTCAAACTACTTTCAATGAATATCTATTAAAGGCCTACTAACTCTTCTAGATGCAGAATAGGAATCATGGGATTGGGGAGAGAAATGATGACAAGATGTTTCATACCAGGCAGAGTAGAAGGGTCTAGATTTCATTGATTTTTAAGCCTTTATTTTGGTGTGGATAAAGGGACCTTTGAAACTCACATGTCCCCTAACTACAGATAAATAGACAGTCACTAAAAATTTACAGTGATGAATGTAACAGAAATTTAAATGAATGAATCAAGATCTCCGGATCTTCTCTGGTCAAGCTAACCAATATAATATGGCCTGATGCCTCATTATTCCCTTCTCCTACCATAAACTACTGAATATTCAAAATACAATATTCATTATCAAATACAAGAAATAATTTAGACCACAAGCTAAAAAACATAGGAAACATGCTAGAAAAGGGAGGTTTTAAGATTGCCAGTAGCAGAACAAACTTGGTTGAATTAATTTCTCTGTTCCCTCTACTGGTTCTTATGCTCTGCCCTCCCAACTCTATTTCATACACCCAACATGAGACCTTGTGTTGTTTTCCGTGAAGTGGACGCCTGCCTCTTTTGCTTTATAGAAACAAGCACACAAATTAGTTTATGGAAAAATTGATTCAATGTACCAGAGAATACTTCGAGAACAAAGATAAACAAAACTGCCCCTACTTTTAGAAGCTCATAGTGGAAGAGATAGGCAGGTAATAGCTGAAAAACACATGCTTCTGCAAATAATTCTGTTGTATCAACAAGTTTCTGGTCTCTTCTTTATGTGATATAAGCTCAGTCTATACGAAAACACCTACTTAAAACCTAGTGCTATTCTTGGCATGCACATTTTAAAATTACAACAAAATTAGGGATCTAACTTACCATCATTTTTTCAAAGAGATCCAGTACTTCCTTTTCTGACAAATTCCTAGATCGTTCATCATATAATGGCTGAGCTGCAGGAAACTCACTCATTGCGACTTGAGAATCAATAGGATGTTGAATAAGAGGTTTTTCTTTTTTGACAGTAGATTTTCTAAAACTTGTAATTCGGTCACGCTGAAAACAACAAAATAAAAATAAAAAGCCCTGAGAAAAAGATCAAGAACTATGAACATGAAGAATTGAAACATCAAAATGATACTTAGTATAATATATATCATTATTGTCTTTTGACAAAATGTTATTTTAAGAAGCAAGTTCCAGTTAGAGATTGTACTATTTTGAAAACTTGAAGTAGTGTTTCAGCTTCAGAAGTCTGGGGGTGAAAACTATTCCTCAAAAATAAAACTTAGCCCCTTGTCATTTCTGTTTTGCAAAGTAAGTAGACAGGGGGAAAAATGTCTCGGATCAAAGTCTGTTGATTGTTTCAGGGAGAATGTGTCTTTGGTGGCAACTTTAGAACTATGAAAAAAATAGAAAATAAAACGAACTACTGATATCCAATTCAATGGAAAAATTATGGGAATTTTCTCTTCTTCAAAGTAGCAAAAACTGTGACAAGTATATATGAATACTTTATCAGTGTAGCAATAGAATGATTAAGAGCATGAACTCTGAAGCCAGACCATACTCGGGTTTGAATCCAGGCTCTGCCATTTACTAGTTGAATAATCCTGTGCAAGTCACTTGGTCTGTGACTGTTTCCTCATCTCCAAAATAGGGATAATGATATTACCTACACCATCAGGCTACTGTGAGATTTAAATAAGTTAATATGCTTATTGTGCTCAGCTGCTGTTTATTGTTATTGTTGTTGTTACCGTTATTATGTTCCTCCAACTTCCCTAAAAAGTGGAACCAATGTAGAACAAAAATAAAAACATCACATTTTCAATTTACTAAAAATCTAACATAAACAGAAATATCTTATTCCTACAATACTATTATGAAGAACTTGCTATTTTATGGATATTGACTTTGAACCATTGATTCCATGTACAGTCTCTAATAATTAGCTTGCTATTTCACATAAAGTGAGTTAATGACTTCAGTTGCATTTAAACAGGCCACTCTATTTTAAACTACAAAATACTAGACTTTCAAAATTAGTAATATACATAAAACTGAATGCAACTCAGTTTTATTCCGGTTTCTGTTAGGAAGGAAGCACATGCATACCATCAGCTCACATTAAACAAGCAGACATGTTAGATATGAAGATAGTACAATTTCACTGCCATGTTACCAGAGTCTTTATGAGTTACTTCAACAATACAAAAAGCATCACAGAAGTTATTACCACAGCTTAGGTAAAATTACACTGACTTCCATTAAAAGAACATGCCCTTTATTTTATTAACTCAAAGAACACTTTTTTAACCAAAAAGTGTACTTTGAAAGAAATATGAGCAGGTTTAAGCAGCTTATTTAGGATTACAAACATGATTTGAGTACACAGTTGCTTACAAAGAGATTATATAAATCATAATACTTTACAGTTGAGAAGAAACTTGAGAAATCATCTAAATCAATTCCCCCATTTCACAGAAAACGTGGCTTTCCTAAATTCACGAGTCCCTGGTTCCTATTCCACTCTTACCATTAACTTTAGATTTCATTTCTTCAAATCATCTTGAACTACATTTCCAAATTTTCTTTTAAGTTTTTGAGGGAAATTAAGTTGATTTAGATATGTCATATATTTTCAAACAGCTCAAGAAAAAAATTAAGTAATCCTAAATAAGCTGAGTACATATCCAATAGTCAAACTTCACTAAAAGATGTGGTGGACATGAAAGCATTTAAATATGCAATTGATCATTAAATCAACTATCTCTTTTCCTTTCCCTTCATATCACTTAATATTTACTTTAGCAGTACTAGCATTTTTTACTGAGTAGCAGTACTTATATATATATTTGATCTTCCACTATGTCCTTCATTTTTATCTTGAAAATTGGCTTTTGATTTCAGCTATATCTTGGTTAGAAAATGAAGTTAAGTCACATACCTTCATCTCCTTAGAGCACTAACACTATTTTACATTATTTGTAAACAGATAATTTCACACAGAAAAAAAATAAGCACTGCTTAAAATATCCTTTTAAGCCGGGCTCGGTGGCTCAGCCTGTAATCCCACGCCTTTGGGAGGTTGAGGTGAATGGATTGCCTGAGCCCGCGGGTTCGAGACCCGCCTGGACAGGCGAGAGCTCATCGCTACAATAAATCAATAATTAGCCGAGCATGGTAGCGTGCCTGTAATTCCGGCTACTCAGAAGGCTGAGGTGGAAGGATCGCCGGAGCCCAGCAGGTCGAGGCTGTGATGGCTGGGAGCAGCCACTGCACTCCAGTCTGAGCGACAGAGTGAGACTCCAACTCAAAAAAAAAAAATCCTTTTAAAAAGTTTAGCTTATACTCATAAAAGGGCACATTTAAATTTTGAGCCCATAACTTTTAAGACATACTATGATAGACTCAGCTTGAAAATATTTAAAGCTTTTAAATTTAATAGCACATATCTGACTAACATAATGAACTTAATTTCCTTTCTATTTGAAATTAATTTCCTCCAATATTAATGTGTAATATATTCACAGTCAATTTATTTGACTATCAAAAAAGGAAACATTTGTGGTTTCCAGAGTCTACAATTACATATAGACTTTTAAAAAATTGGTTAAGGTATTTATCAGTATGATGAAATGAAATTTTTGTTCGAATCTCATACAATTATTTATGTTAAGATTCAAAAAGAAGTCATTCTATTGATAATTATTTCATGCTAATGTACTTTGTAAACATTCAGATATGCTTTAATGTCCACCCAATTTAATAAAAAGGTAACATGCATAAGTAATATTATAACATGCTGCTAAGACCACCTTACCACGTCATCTGCCAAAGTTTTTATTTGAATGTTCTATTAAAATCAAAAGGAAACAAACAAAAAGAAGAAATACTAGTCAGATAAGAGGAATTCACAGATAAAACAAAAATATAGTTGAATGACTTTTTATTTTAGCAACTGTAAATAGTCAAAAATAATTAGAAAGTTTGAATAAATAGATAAATTTTTTTAAGATTAAAAATGAAGGTTTTTGTGGGGAGGGGATCTATTTGTTTTTAAATATGGCTCCCAGGGTCTCAAAATCAGATACTGATTTGAAGCATTTTAGACATATGTGTACCTTAACTTAGAGAATTTGATAAAAGTAAATCAGACAGCACTAACACAGTGCTCAAATGTGAGAAAAGATATGGCAAAATCATAAGCCCTTGCAGGTTTTTTTCAACATTTTGAAATGAATAATCATGTTTTTAAGATACCCAGATTTAAAAACAATAGCTACATGCACAATAAGAAAAATGTCACATTTAACAGTAATGAAATATAATGAAACAGCTTGGTCTAAGAACTCAGTGTTATACATGATGGATATTTAAAAGACACCTTTATAAATATTCTAAATAAAACTGAACGTAGTGATTCTGTTAACATATGCCCATTTTTTTCAGAAACTCCCAATATTTCTTTTTTTGCATGTGATTTTCTACTTCTTTTTTTTAAAATAATATTTTTTATTTTAAAATTGTGGGGTACAGTTAAGGGTTAGGTATACAAATATGCATTTTTCAGGTACCCTTGTTGATAACGGGTGTCTCTCCGTTCCCACACAGATATTGACTACCATTAATCCCACCTCTCTTCCCCTCCCCCCCCATAGTTTCCCACCACTGTCAATCTTTTTCTTATAGTATTACAATAGATGTTCAAGGTCTACTATATGAGTGAGAACAAGTGATACTCAGATCTTTGTTTCTGTTAGAGATCACTCAGTATTACAGATGCTAGTTCCATCCAGGTTGCTGCAAAATTCATGATTTTGTTCTTTTTTATGGCTGCATAGTATTCCATTGTGTATATGTTCCACATTTTTTTAATCCAGTCCTCTTTTGATGGACAGCATGGTTGGTTCCAGGTTCTTGCTATTGTGAAAAATCGCATTTCTTTACACCAATAATAAACAAACAGAAACCCAAATAAAAAACACAATCCCATTCACAATAGCCAAAAAAAAAATGAAATACCTTGGCATATTCCTAACCAGAGATGTGCAAGACCTTTACAATGAAAACTACAAAACACTGCTGAAAGAAATCTAAGATGACACAAACAAGTGGAAAAATAGCCCATGCTCATGGATTGGAAGAATCAACATTATAAAGATGTCCATTCTACCTAAGGCAATCTACAGATTTAATGCAATACCCATCAAATTACCAACAACATTCTTCTCAGAGTTAGAAAAAACAATACAGGAATTCATATGGAAACACAAATGACCAAGAATAGCCAGAACAATCCTCAGCAAAAAAAAAAAAAAACAAAGCAGGAGGTATCACACCAGACTTCAAACTTTACTATAAAGCTACAATAATCAAAACAGTTTGGTATTGGTGCAGGAACAGGCATATAGACCAATGGAACAGAATTGAGATTCTAGAAGCAAAACCTCAATTTCTCAACCAACTCATCTTCAACAAAGCCTCCACCACCTACCACTGGGGAGAGGAGAACCTATTCAGTAAATGGTGCTGGGAAAACTGGCTGACCACATGCAGAAGATTTTCTACTTCTTATACTGAGAATCATTGGAAATAGTGTACTCTAGAGTACGTAAAATACAGTAGCTAATAAAAACTACCATGAAATATATATGGGCACCACCATTTGAAGAATTAGAGTACAACAATACAAAAGTAATATCTAACAATTGAGTGGTCTTCCATGATTCAGAAGATACTTCAAAGCTTACAATAACATAGGATGGGCTTGAAGTGGAGTTCTTTTAAATATGTTGAAGAGCCAATTACGGGTTTAATTAGGAAAGAGTCAGATTTTTAAGAACTGATAGAAATTGAATTTAACCCTTGTGTCACACCTATATATTTATTTCTTACAACAGAATCTGAATGATGCATATCAACTTGGTCATGCATTCTCACATCTTTTTTTACTAAGAAAAATACAGTCAATCTGGTGGGGAGGATTCCATTATGAGTTTTAAGTGAGATTTGCTCGGTCTCAGGGAGTTGTCTTCAAATACCACCAACCTAGTGCTATTAAAGACCATCCTCCTCTAGATCAGCTGGTGCAAATACACTACTACATGTACAGTTCATTTTCTGCTTTTAACCCATTGATTCCCTCAGGGATCTAAACTCGTAATCTCTGTACCATGTCTTTATCATATCCTGCTGACACAAACCTGAATCAATCTTTACCGTCTAGGAAAAAGGAGGGATTATTTATATCAGAACTGAAGCCACTTTAGGAAAGATGAATTCACCCTAGGACTCTCTCTACCAGGTATTTTCTCATATTAATTTTTCTAGTGGATTACAGAAAACTGTTTTATGCACAATGACAAGCTTCATGATATCCTGTAATGTCAAATCAGAGAAACAAATGGCAAAGTATCAAAAGTCCCCCTCAAACAACCCTGCTACCATCCAGATGTGTGCCTGACAACCCAGGTTTCTGAGACAGAGTATACAATTCTTCAAGCAACTACTGCTCTTCTTTAAAAACTTCCCCATCCTTTGGGTTTATAAACTCCAAAGTGGAAATACATCTATATCTCCAAAACAAGAATGTAACTTAAGAGAAAACATGATTTGCTTTTATCAAATTCTCTAGGGTACATATATGTCTAAAATGCTTCAAATCATTATCTCAACTCAATATTGAGAGTTTAATCATGGGTGACAGACATAAGAAAAAAAGGACCGCTAGCAATAATTCTACCTGGTCTTATGAGAAGATACTTAAGTCTTCTCTTCCCCCTACTACTCTTTTGGAATTAAAGTACTTTTTGTCCATATTAAACCACAGAGCATGGAGTCAGAAACTATAAGAGCTGGACAGAATTTGAGATATCTAGTCAAAGCCTCTCATTTTACAAAAAAAGAGGGTAACATTTGTTAGTAGTTCCACCTACATTCCATTTGTTTTGGTTTAAGACTTCCACATCACCTTGGTCTCCTCCCTCTTCTTCATTCCCAATAGCCAGGCAGCTGTTCAGTTCCATGGCTATCTTTCTGAAGTCCACAGAAAAGTGGTTCAAGCCACCATAAGCTCTTACCTAGATTTCTGCAGTAACCTCCTAACCTCTCTTGCTGCTTCCACCTTTGCTCTCCTACAGTTAATTTTCAACAGAGCAGAGTGATATTGCCAGAACAGAAGTCATATTATGTCACTCCTTGGCTCAAAATTTTCCAAAGGCTCTCTAATTTCCCTCCAGTGCAAGTCAAAGTCCTACAAGACCATATTGATCTGTACACTCTACATATCCCTCTGAGTTTCATCTCCTACTACTCTCCCTTCATTCACCCAGCTCCAGTCACACTAACTAACTCAATGCTCCCCAACAACGCTATATAAGCTGCATGCACTGGCTCCTCCCTCTACCTGGAATGCTCTTTTTTCCATGGTCCCTCACTTACTCCCTCACTCCCCTTTCAAGGTCTTTCTCAGTGAGGCCTACTCTGTCCATCCTATTTCAGATGAAAACATCTGCCTCCTCCACACATTCCTAACACTCCTGATCTGCTTTACCATGCTCTAGCACATTCTAACATAGTCTATAATTTACTACTTTATTATCATTATTTTGGTCTGTTTTTTCCACTAAAAATGTGAGTCCCACAAGGACAGGGATTTTTGTCTGTCTGGTTTAGGGATGTACCCCTAATGCCTAGAGCAGTGTTTGGCACACTGAAGCTCAATAAAGATTATGAATGACTATCACAATGTTGTTCATAAATATTCAATGCCTCCTGATGACCTGTAAAGACTAATATCTGTGCTATAGCATTCAAAGCCCTGTAAAATTCAGCCTTAGGCTACCTTCTACTTCTTCCCTCATGACCCCGTGTGCTGTGGAAAACAAAAAAATTGAAATTCTTTTCTCAACGCATACCTCATGATGTCCTCCTGTTTGTGTCCCCACTTTTTGCTCTAACCTGGACTGTCCACTTTGCTAGATACATTTCTATTTCTAGGGTTCCTTTGACTTTAAAGTGTAGTTGTTGATAAGCCAAATGTGGACTTCTGGTCAAAAATAATACCAGAGAAGGATTGTGCTTTGCTTATTTTCTTCTTAAAGATTTTTTTTTCCTAACAGACATCTTCAAGAATTATAGAGTACCCCAAGGCATATAGGAAATTATATAAAAAATTATCCCAACTACTTGTGAGAGAGAACCACAAAGAAAAACACTCAGCTCCTGATTTCCTGATTTATAAATTTCTTTCAACTACAGAGTGTATATCCTGTAAAACTGTGCACATTTAATCTAATATGAATATTTTCTCATAGATTTCCCTCATGTAAAAATCTGCTTTTGTAAATATCATATTTCATAAATGTAACAACATTCTTTAAAACTCTTCTTTATAACTGTTCAGAAAAAAAGAGACAAATGTGGTCTATTGAAAAAGATAATCTTTACACAGATATGATGAGGTTGAGCTTCAGAAGGGAAAATTTTTTGCCATTATACATTAAAAATGCATTGAAGTCATTGTATAAGTTACAATTAAATGATCTGCAATCAAAAATAAATGATTTTTCGTGTCTTTTGGAGCATGATGGAGGCCATTATCCTAAGTGAAATAAGTCAGAAACAGAAAGTGAGAGCAAAACAATGGGTACACATGAACATAGAGTAGAATAATGGACATTAGGGACTCCAAAAGGCAGGAAGGTAGGGGGGTGAGGGCTGAAAAATTGGGTAGAATGTTCACTATTTGGGTGACAGGTGCACTTAAAGCCTAGACTTCACCACTACGCAATACATTCATGAAACAAAAATGCACTTGCAACCCCTAACTCTATAAAAATGAAAAGTAAACTA